GGGAGAGGGGCTCGGAGCCGGCAGAGGATCGGGAGGGAGAGCGGCTCGGGGGAGCTCTGGGGGAGAGGGGCTCAGAGGGGGAGAGGAGCTCGGAGGGGGACTGGGGGCTACAGGGGAGAGATGGGTTCCTGGGGAGAGAGGGGTTGGGGAGTCTGGGCCGCTGCCCTGGGCCGCTGGACAAGGTGGGGGGCCCTCGAGCCCCTCCGCTGGCCGGGCGTCTCCCTGGGAGGTCTCCCTCCTGCCTTAAGAATTCCTTGGGCCGGGCAGGGGAGCGGCTCTCTTGGGCCCCGCCTGGGCTGACCCTCCCCCCTCTTCTAGCCGGCTGCCTGGTCCGCGAGCTGATCGACTTCATGGGGATCAAGCGGCGTGTGACGCGGCCGGTTCTGCACTTGTTGCTGGTGCCGCAGCTGACGGAGCTGGACCTGGGCAGATGCTCCCAGCTGGTCACCAAGGACGTGGCTCAGATGATCTCCAGCCGCTGCAAGGTGGACGGTGGGGCTGTGGGTGGGGTGGGGGCTCCCTGGTCCTCTGGGCTGGCATCGCCCGGTTTTTCAAGCAGCTCTGCAGCCATCGGGCTTCCCTCTTTGGCTGCCCTATTGGATAAGCACGTCTATTTGCTGGGTCCTACCTCCTTTCTAGTTCTGGTACCTCTTGGACCGAATAAATGAATTGGGTAAAATGGCAGTCTTCTGTGAAACATTCAGTTCTTGTTTCCAGCTGCACTAGGAACTCTGAATGCCTAATAATTGTCATAATTGAGTCAATCAAAGCAAAGAGAATTCAAGATAAAAGGAGGGTTTATTTTTTGATGTATATGCTTTATATCCCAACATCCACCCTGGCCACTCTAGGCACCGTACGGAGGATTAAAATGCGAAAATACCAACATACAACCTCCCAGCATCTAAGATTATAACCTGATCGGGGAGGGAATGGAGAAAGGGGGGAACCCTGAGCCAGCCAACTCTCACCTTGAGATCCAAGCAGGATGAGTCCAGGAGCTCTGAGATCTGCCCCTGCCTCTGTCACTCAAGGTTATTTCTGGGAAAGAGAAGCAGTTTTTCAGATGCGGCCACATTGTGGTTGCGATCTAATTTTCCCTTGTGGCCAGATAGGATCCCAAGGCCACTGCACCATGAAAAGTTCTGTCCTGCCGTAACCTAGTTCAGCCTGCGGCCTCTGAAAGCACCGATGGAAAAGGCCTCGGGGCAAGGCTTCGTGGAAGGCAAAATAGGCTTATGGTTTATATAAGGCAAAGGTGGGGAACTGTGGCCCCTTTAGGACTTCAGGAATTCTGGGATTTAAAAGTCCACAAGTTCCAAAAGAGCCATCGTTCCCCATCCCTGACTTAAGGCTTTACATACTATCTTTCAAAACAGATTTTCCAGAGCTGCCTACAGCTAGTGTAAAAAAAAAAAACATTTTAAAGCAGTCTCTAACAAGTTAAATTTAAAACATTAAAAAGATTAGTGGCATAATTTTGAAACCTTTAATTTTAAAGTTACTTAAAGTGTTAAAATCTGTTAACGGCACCAAAATTAAAGATCAGGGAACAGGTACAGCAGTAAAAACTAAGAATCAAGTGTCCAGGGAGAATTAAAATGTCTGCCTGAAAGTCGAGACAACCGGGGAGGCCAAGCGGGGGCTGCTCCACACGATGAGCCCGGGGTGTGTGCACACCGAGAGCCGCATTTCCTTGCTGACCTGCCCACCTTTTTGTTTTTCCTCCCTGGGACAGAACCTGTCCCTGCTGTACCTCCAGCGCTGCAGCCGGATCCCCAGCAACGCTCTGGTTGACCTGATAGAAAGCTTGCCTTCCCTCAAGAAGCTGGACCTGTCGGACACCCAGTGCAACACTCAGGTCTTGTCGGCCGTGGGCTCCACCTGCCGCCATCTCTGTGAGCTGAACATCTCCGACTGCAAACGGCTGTCTGCAGACTCCCTTCTCCACCTGGCTTACGACGTCACGGCCGGCTCCTTCTCTTGCCAGGGCCTGCAGGTGCTTTCAGTCGACGGTTTGGAGCCCAGTGGCAAAAGCCGGGACCTGGTCTGGGCCCTGGCCTTTGTTCTGCTGGCCCTTCCCAGCCTCCGGTTCTTAGAAAACGAGTTTGTTTCTGAGGCTCTGCAGGAGATCCTCGGGCAGCAGTTCGCGGCGGCCCAGATCGACCCCCGCTTTCCCTCCCTGGAGGAGCTAGCCCGGCGCAGGATGGCCATGCGCGCAGACCAGGCCGGCTCCAGGCTCACGTTGCCCCTCAAGGAGCTCCTGGAGGTGGAGGAAACTTTCCTGCCCACGGTTTGTGCCGTGTGCCCACACTTAACCAAAGCCATCGTCCTCCTGGATGACGGCTCTGCCTTGAGCCCCGCCTTCTACACCTGGCACACCCTCACCGACCTGACCTTGGACTGCAGCAGGCCCCGGAATCTGGCGGAGCTTCTGCCGGTGGCGGCCATCCTCGGCGCCCAGATGCAGTCCCTCTCCGTCGACGGCTTCTACATCAGGGATGAGTTGTCTTTCCACATGGTGCTCAATCACTGCCCAAACCTCCATAAATTCAGTGCCAGCATCTTCCTGTCCCTGAGGGGCCAGGGAAGCCCCACCCTGGAGCAGGATGCTGTTTTGACCCCCCCCAGGTTCTCCCACCTTGTCGAGTTTACCTTGAACCTTTGCCATTTGCACACTTCCGCACCTTCCCAGCCTATTCCAAGGTTGAGAGCAAACCTCCTGTCCGTCCTCCAGAACTCCCCCTGCCTGAAGAGCCTGGAGCTGTGCTACCTGCCTTTCTGCCTGGACGAGGTGTTCGAGAAAGTGCTGGAGCCCCGGGGCGCCGCCCTGGTGCACCTCCGTTACCTTTCTCTGCTGCAGTGCCAGATCTCCATCAGCACCATCCACCTGCTGCTGGCCGCCGACAACCAGCTGAATTCCCTCCACTTGGACAAATGCCCAGACATCTACCGGGGCGACTATGACGAGCTTCTCCGGAAAGTCAGCCGGGAAGGCCTTGACCTGCACATCCAGTGGCAGTGAAGGCCCAGGAAGTCGGTTTTCTTTATACTGAGGCCAAAGTAGAGTGGAGCCCCTCTTAATAAAGTTTGTATTCTCTCCCACAGTCTGCCTTGGCTTCTGTCGACACCTGGGCCCAGACGGGGCGGTGGGGCCTCTGTGGGTGCAACTCGGGAGGCGGTCGGAGGGGGGGGGAGTTGCTGTTTCACATCCTCCCTCCTAGAAACCAGTCAAGGGCCAGGCATTTCCAGTCCAGCCTCTCACCTGGGTAGGCAGGTGCTCAGCAGTCAAATGACGTGCAGGGAGGAAGCAGTTCTCACACATTGGCGGAGCTCTCGGCAGGGTGCTGGTTTCACTGACGGAGCAGATGGGGAGAGTTCTCAGTTGCCTCTGAAGGGAGCACAGGTGGGTAGGCCGAGGGATGCAGAACAGCCTTGAGGGTGATGGAGGTGTTCTTCCCAAGGCTGGCTTAAACTGGAAATAGGGAACCAACAACTTGACACCAGATCGATTGGGGAACAGTTCCGAAGCTATTATGCAAAGGACTGGGAGAGGTCAGGTTACAAGCCCTCTTTGTCATCACTTCCAGGTTGTTGGTTACTTCATAATTACAATTAGGAGCATTTAAAACAGGGGTGTCCAACCTTGGCAACTTTAAGACTTGTGGACTTCAACTCCCAGAATTCCTCAGCCAGCAAAGCTGGCTGAGGAATTCTGGGAATTGAAGTCCACAAGTCTTAAAGTTGCCAAGGTTGGACACCCCTGATTTAAA